ACTGTATGCCTCCGTATTTACCAGTGCCATTTCTAGTTAATAGCCTAGATACAACTGTATGCCTCCGTATTTACCAGTGCCATTTCTAGTTAATAGCCTAGATACAACTGTATGCCTCCGTATTTACCAGTGCCATTTCTAGTTAATAGCCTAGATACAACTGTATGCCTCCGTATTTACCAGTGCCATTTCTAGTTAATAGCCTAGATACAACTGTATGCCTCCGTATTTACCAGTGCCATTTCTAGTTAATAGCCTAGATACAACTGTATGCCTCCGTATTTACCAGTGCCATTTCTAGTTAATAGCCTAGATACAACTGTATGCCTCCGTATTTACCAGTGCCATTTCTAGTTAATAGCCTAGATACAACTGTATGCCTCCGTATTTACCAGTGCCATTTCTAGTTAATAGCCTAGATACAACTGTATGCCTCCGTATTTACCAGTGCCATTTCTAGTTAATAGCCTAGATACAACTGTATGCCTCCGTATTTACCAGTGCCATTTCTAGTTAATAGCCTAGATACAACTGTATGCCTCCGTATTTACCAGTGCCATTTCTAGTTAATAGCCTAGATACAACTGTATGCCTCCGTATTTACCAGTGCCATTTCTAGTTAACAGCCTAGATACAACTGTATGCCTCCGTATTTACCAGTGCCATTTCTAGTTAACAGCCTAGATACAACTGTATATTTCCGTATTTACCAGTGCCATTTCTAGTTAATAGCCTAGATACAACCGTATGCCTCCGTATTTACCAGTGCCATTTCTAGTTAATAGCCTAGAAACAACTGTATGCCTCCGTATTTACCAGTGCCATTTCTAGTTAATAGCCCAGATACAACCGTATGCCATTTCTATGTACACTTTGACGACATTCATACAGCGACATGATAAAATTAAATTAAAAAAAATATATATACGAATAAATAATGAATAAATAAATAACACTGTTTTCAAACATTCTTTTGTATTGTTTTGTAACTCAATGAAGTACCCTTTTTCACAATTTTCAAAACTTTAAATGGCATACAGCGTGATCAGCATTTATAATCATACGATCAAAGAGTGAAACACAATGGTGAATAATCAAAGTATGGTAAACATATGAAATATATTCTTAATCTAAGAGTATGTTTTATTAGAATAACAATGTAGTACTTGTACATGTTAATATGATACAGGTGAGGTCGATACCCCCCAAACTCACATAACTTCATAGAAGGTGCATACTACAGACCACCATCAGATAAAGGACATTCACTCACAGAACTCGAAATATCCCTGAACAGAATAGGAACACAGAACAACACAATAACATTTATTAGCGGAGACTTCAACCTCCCACACATAGATTGGTCAAACAACACCACAACACCAGGCAAACCAGACATCATCGACGACAACTCCCTCCCCCAAACCATAGACAAACCCACAAGAGGAGAACACATCCTTGACCTACTACTCACAAATCGTACATCCATCATCAATAAACAAGAAATAGTCCCACCGATAGGCAAGGCAGATCACGACATTATATATACAGAAGCAGACATTAGACTACAAAAAACACGCAAACCACCTAGGAACATTAACCTATTTAACAAAGCAAACTGGGACAACATCAGAAAAGACCTGACTTATCTAAATAATAACTTTCAGGACCTAGACCATCAAAACACAGAAGACCTTTGGGTAAGTTTCAAAACAACACTCCACACATCTACAGAAAAAAAAAACCCATTCCAATAAAATCACTAACATACAAACACAGACTACCCAGGATGAACAACTCACAATTTGGCGCCTCCCAAACCAGTCTAAACGCCTCCACCATAAATCAAGGACAAATCACAAACTTATCCACACGTACAAAACAGTAAAAGCTGAAGCGCAAAAACAAACACGCAATGCATACCTACAATACATTGAGAAGATGATCACAGACCTACTAATAGGCGAACCTGAAGACCCCAACACAAGGAACAAATACAAGCCATATCTGGCATGGGTAGATGAGGTAATATTCCTTCGTCAGGTATTGTTGTGTTTTGTTCTGGTGTGAAGGCGTCTTGGAACTGTTCATTTGGTATGTTTGCTTTTGTTTCTGGGTCTGATGTGAGGTGGCCGTTTTTACGTAGTGCTATGATGTCTGTGTTTTCTTTTTTGGTGGTTTTAATGAAAGAGAGGAGTTTTTATGATACACATCACATGCCAAGGAGTCGACAAACTAATAAATAACATCAACCCACACAAAGCAACAGGCCCAAACAATATACACGGCAGAATACTAAAAGAACTCAAGGATATCACAGCACCTATACTAACAAAAATATTCCAAACATCACTCAATACAGGAACATTACCCAAGGACTAGAAACACGCCAACGTAAACCCCAAATACAAAAAAGGAGAGAAATACAACCCAACAAACTACAGACCAATATCACTCACATGCATCGCATGCAAACTCCTAGAACATATCATCGCAAGTACAACCATGAAACACTTAGAAGACAACAAAATACTGCACGACCTACAACATGGCTTCCGCACATCAAGATCTTGCGAAACACAACTCATTACATTCATACAAGACCTCGCAAAGAACCACAACAACAACAAACAAACAGACAATATCATAATGGATTTTGCCAAAGCCTTCGAAAAAGTCCCACAAAACTCCTACAGTACAAACTAAATTATTACGGCATCACTGGAATCACATTAACATGGATAACAGACTTCCTATCACAACGCACTCAAACAGTAGTTCTTGAGGGCAAACACTCCAACAAAATCCCAGTAACATTTGGAGTGCCTCAAGGAACCTGTTTGGGACCAGTCCTCTTCCTCATATACATCAACGACTTCCCCGAATACATATCACAAAGTACACTAAGCCTTTTCGCAGATGACAGCATACTATACAAAACAATCAACAACAAAGACGACACGACAAAACTACAAGTAGATTTAGATGCAGCTAGTAAATGGGAAGAGGACTGGCTCATGAAATTCCCCCCAGACAAATGCACCATACTCACTATATCACCAAAACGCACACAAATTAAACACCAATACACACTCCATGACCACACACTAGAATATGTTACTTCAAACAAATATCTAAGCATCACACTTTAAAACAACTTAAAATGGGACAAACACATTAACAACATCACATCAAACGCAAATAAATCATTCGGTTTTCTGAAACGCAACCTAAAAATAAATTCACCACACATAAAAGAACATGCATACAAGGCCATTATAAGACTAAAACTCGAATACTGCTCTTCATTTTGGGACCCACATTATACAAATAACATAAACCAATTAGAAAAAGTACACGAAGAGCAGCACGGTATGTCCTAAACAAATACCATAACACAAGCTCAGTCACAGACATGATACATAACTTGCAATGGCCAACACTACACACACGCAGAACAAGAACACGTATTGTTCTTCTCTACAAAATCATACACCAACAAGTAGCAATACAAACTAACAATCTCATCCCGGCAGACACCAGAACACGTCAAGGACACGTCCGTAGTTACAGACATATCTACACATCCAAAGACACATACAGACACTCATTCTTTCCATACACCATAATGCAATGGAACCTCCTACCCACAACAATAATTCAAGCAAATACACTAGCAGAATTCAGGACATGAACCACATACAACACAATCGAACATATACAAAACCTACAACATAACTAACACTCACTCGCTGCTTTTAACCTGTTTTTATCCTAAGCAAATAACAAAACAAAACAAAATCAAACAAAAAATCACTGCACATAATTAACGCACAATAGCACAACGACCCTACTTCCGTAATCGTCGGTATCAACGAAGGAAGTCTAACAGTTGAAGATGAAGATCAAAAGAATCTCGCGGTCACGTAACGGTAAAAATTGACAGGTTTTGCAATCGGGCGTCTCTCCTTTGTAATCTTCAAAGGACAGATATCAGCCTAGCGATTGGTCAGGTGTTTTTTTTTACCTGAGGCCAATCAAACACCTATTTTCGTGTCTTCAATTTTGCTATGACATATTCCAGGGGAGTAGAGAGCGAAAGTGAGCGTAACCCCTGGATATCGAGGATGTTCAAAAAGGGAGCAAAGAGAAGTCGTGAAAAGAATTATTGCAATAAAAAGTGAATTAAGATAGAATCCAGCCTGACGCGTCACTGTCTGAGTAAACCTATTGTATCCAGATATTTTACTTCTACCTAATAATCGACCTACATTGTACATGTACTTCATCATATTGAAGATCGTACAGGAAAAGAGAGTGGAACCAAAGCTAATTGTGTAGAGAAGAGAGATGACTTTTAAAGGTTTTCAAAGTTTCAGATGAGACCAGGTCTGGTAGGAGGTTGTTCCATTCTAGGATAGTTCTATTCTAAGAAAAAAGGAGGAGAGGAATTAATATAAGCTTATAGCTTGTTTCCGATCCTCGTTGTATCTGTACTGTATTGTTATGTAGTGTGCAAGTGATGAAATAAAATATTGTTTGCGGCTGTCGGTTCTACCATGTGGAATGTGATAGAAAGAGTGAGTGTGTCGTGTCTGTCGCAACTGTTTTGTCAGGTATTTTTCTTTTGTGATGGCTACAGTGTTAGAAGTGATTTTTTTATATGATATGTGTTTCTGCCACTTTCTGTTTCTGCATATCAGGTATAGCGGAGAAAAATAAATAGACCAAAAAAGTAATATAAAAAAATAAGAAACTAAAAAATAAACATAGAAATAAAATATGGTAAAATGAAATAATGAAGGCATTTGGATAGTCCGCATTAAAGCCATTTTGGTCTCTGTGGGGTAACATATAGATAGATGACTAAATAGCTATAATTTGGTATTGATTGTCAGTCTAGTATTTATCGATATAAATAGCCTGTCCACCAGTGGAAGCCTAACTCACCAGGGTTATCTCCCGTAACCGCACATTACTTTCAGTTTCCAGCAGATGACGCCACATGTGTTTCCTTACGTCAATGGCTGTTTATCATACACATGCATTACAGTAGCTGCGTACAGCCGGGAAACAGCAGATGTCGACATGGCTAGCAGACGTTACATCTAGAGTCTGTCCAATTACCAAAACTGTAAGTACTGGTTTAGAAGAATATTTGTCAAGGCATCTTTTTAGCCGCTACTGCTTACTTTCTGACGACATATTATGTCGTTTTGACGGATAAACGCAAGTTCTTCACAAAATCAATATTTCGTTCGTGTATGCTTCTTTCGTTTGCTGTCATACTTGTGTATATAAACTGAACATGTGTTCATGACGAACAGAACGACCTGTTTTGAAGGTTTATTATTCACGTAAGTTAAAACGCCTCGTTCGGCTAAATGCCGGTTTGTTTTGATCAGTTTCCATTTCCGACAGCGACGTTGAGCTTTGTAAACATGTGCAGTCAAGCGCGACGAGAGCATACCTCCAATGTCAGTAATCAATTTGGACATAGGAAATGTATCGATCAGGTCTGTTGATCAACAGAATCGGACTGGCTCGGGGCAGCCACTACCATTTTTACTATTAACAGTTTATCACATTAACATGATGTATTTAACTACTAAGTTATATGTTATGACTGTTAGGCCTGCAATCTATATATTAAAAGTCTGTAAATATAATGATTATTGCTTGCAACTCACAAATACTGACTCTACTATATATATATATACAACAGTTTGAACGTAGTGAATTCCTTACAATTGTCACTTTTGTCAGTAATATGTACATGGACTATATTATATATGGAGCAAAACAAAAATATTCCTTTGGCCTATACTAGGCTTATATGGCACTAATGTAGCGGAACTGGACTGGGTTGATCGTCGGCGACAAGATAGCTCAATTGGTAGAGCATCCTAGAGTTTGGAGGGTCCCGGGTTGTAACCCCGGTCTGGCCGTACATTTTTAGCTCACCTGGCCTATACAGCCCTGTGAGCTAATTATGCCGTACTGCAGCGTCCGGCCGTCAACTTTTTCTTTTAAACGACTTCTTCTGAAGAACTGGAGAACCTTGGGTCATGATATTTGGCCAGTAGGTAGCTGGGATGGAGTGCCATTAAAATTCCTCATTAAATTGACCTAGACCTACTTTCAAGATCACAGGGGTCAAATATGTTCAAAAATTGAAATAACAATATCCTAAGAACCATTTGGACTAGAGTCATGATAATTGGGTATGTTATGAAGACCAGCAATGCAAATCTTTTTCCTTTTCACAGTAATGAGGTCAAAGGTCAACTTTAAGTGCTAGTGAGGGGTCAAATGTCAACATGGGTTAAAAGGTTTAACAATCTTCTTCTCATGTTCCATAAGGCCCAGGGTGCTGGTATTTGGCCAGTAGGTACCTGGGGTGTAGTGCTTTGAAGTTTTCTCATTAAAATGACCTTGACCTAGTTTCAAGGTCACAGGGGTCAAAAATGTTAAAAACTTCAAACAACGATATCCTAAGAAGCATTTGATTTAGAGTCATGATACTTGGGTATGTTATGTAGACCAGCAGTGTGAATCTTTTTCTAAATTACAGTAATGAGGTCAAATGTCAACTTTAAGTGCTAGCTTGAGTTAAAGGTCAACGTGGATTAAAAGCTTTAAAATTACAATTTCAAATTTCAAACCACAATTTCTTAGGCTTTTAAGAGATGTTAAAATGTCTTGTGTTCTAGTTACCAAATTTGGTCTGAAGTTACCTATATGTCAGTTTCATGTAACAAAAGAAACAGGTGAGCGATACAGGCCCTCTGGGCCTCTTGGTCCTCTCCTGCTACATTTGGCGCCCAACGAAATATACACACAGAAGGTGGTATAGGGTCTTGTGTGTCTTCGGGGTCAAAGACTTTGTTATAGGAGGCAGGAATGTAGCGGAACTGGACTGGGTCGATCATTGGCGACCAGTTCACTCAATTGACAGAGCATCCGTCTAGAGTTCAGAGGGTCCCAGTTCGAACCCCAGTCTGGCCGTACATTTTTCCTCTCCTGTTACACTAATGTAGTGTTACAAAAAAACAAATAAAAGTGTGTATCTGTAATAGGAGAAAGATAAATGCATTACTAGATAGGGATTTGAACCCGGTACCCTCTGAACTCAAGACGACACTTTATAAGTTGAACTACTTAATAAGCCCTGCATAAACAAGAACATGCAGCAAAACTGCTGCACACAATTTTTTTTATGAAAATGACTAACTGACACTCCAACAACCTTGAGGGAACGATTCCTTCATACTTGAATTCATCTAATGATGATAATTTTATAAATTGTTAATGGCATTAATTTTGCATTTAGCACTATTGTCACTCAATATTTGTCACATTGCACGCAAATGTACATTTTTAAACGCACATTTAAATGTCAAGGAATAGGTAATAATGTCACCTAAGAAAGAGAAGCAGCAATTCCCAAAATAACACCAAAATCACTTTATTTGCAAAAAATCATGCTTTTTGTGTGTGATATTTTCCCCAAGTCACAAGGCACAGACCGCTGTAAAAAAAGAGGTAGAAAATTACTGACAGGGAAATGTCAAACCTGTGAATTAAAAAATATACTGAAGATTAAATAATTAGATAAAATCATGAATATGATAGTTCATCCTTCACATCATTACAACTTGCCACAACCCAAGTTTTTAGTTTGAATCATGGAACAATGAATGATCAGTGTTTACATTGTTCTTGATCTACAGACAATCAACCTCTGCTGACATCAAAGGTACTATCTGCTAGTATCCAAACCAAGCTCTGGCTGTGTTCAACTTCTATAGTGCATCTGTACTTCGTTTAGACTTGTGAAACGTGTGTTTCCAAATTACACACATCAACAGATAGTTTTAATGAATAATGTACTTCATTCATATTAAACTTGCTGATCTGAAATTTACTGAGCTCATGAAAATTCTGAAAATTTCATAAATGTCAGATTATGTTTTGTGTAAACATTTTTCCATTTTAATGGTTGTGTTTATTCTATCATATTCGCATGCAATTATCAAAGGAGAAAAAAATCAGACAGACAGGCTTAATACACTTCTATGTTAGGTAGGATTAGAATTATCTGTGTGAGGTATTGAAGGAACACATTGACTGATTTTCGTTGAAGTCAACTGTCGATGTCATAATTTTGGATTGTATTTTTTTATCTTTAGATGATTGGGAAGTTAGCCAAGAGAGTGAACACAAGATGGTAGGGAGAGGGATTGATATACTATCTCAGCCCTACCTAACAAGACATGTTGGAACATAACACAAAGTACCTGTGCCCACGCCTGGTGGATTACATCATCGTTGTGGGCAGCAGGCATCCTAACCATAACAACAATGTAGCACAAACCCCCGAACTTCTACGACGATACCCACTGGAGGATCACCACGACTTTCCTCTACCACCTGACATCATATTCTTCTGTCAACCAGAAGGCTGTATAAGCGTAGGGCCAAAACGTATGAGTCTAAGAGAGACAACGTCATTTGTATTTACACTTACGGAAAAAGACTCTGGATTAGTTAGGTATGGTATCTGTGTAAATTTTTTTCGACCGATAGAAAAGAAATATTCAGAAAAATCAAAGTCTGAACGTTTTTATGGAGGAAATGCTGATGGAAATACGTTAGGTATTGGCATCGAGTCAGATGGCCGACAGAGGTCACCAAGAACTAGTCGCAGACTCAAAACAGCGGGACGAGTACGAAACAATACTCTTACTTCACTATGCATCGTCAGTCATCATCCTTTCTTTTCAACATTCCGAGAATGCATGTTTATATTAAGAAAGCTCATAGATTCATGTCATGACAGAAGTTGTACAAAAAGAATTGGTGGATCCAGAGGCTCTTCAAGGTAAGTCCGACTCTATATTGATTATTTCTGAACTATTTGTCATGTAGGTTTGTACCTGATGATTTCTTTAATCACTGCCTCATTAGGTTTGTACCTGATGATTTCTTTAATCACAGCCTCATTAGGTTTGTACCTGATAATTTCTTTAATCACAGGCTCATTAGGTTTGTACCTGATGTCCCTTTAATCACAGCCTCATTAGGTTTGTACCTGATGTCCCTTTAATCACAGCCTCATTAGGTTTGTACCTGATGTCCCTTTAATCACAGCCTCATTAGGTTTGTACCTGATG